TTTTCCAGAAAAGAAACTTTTCTTTTAATAAATGATTTGGAGGAAGGAAATGTTATATAAATGTAGTACTGGATCTGTTTTACTGACTCTTTAGATGTATCACCTGAGATCTCAGGTGTAACCTTCTTTTGCAGAACCATCCATGTTCCTTACAGGAGTTTTTAAGCTGTGGTGTTTCAATGTTTAAGAAGCCAACATTTACCTTTTCCTTGGATACAGAGAATACTTAGATGCATCAGCCCCCACATCAGTGATGTAGCTGACCCACACGTGTCCATTTCTACCACAGGAATTCTAGCACTATTGTTGCATTGGTTTAGTTCTTTGTTTTTTATCCTGTTTTTTTGACTTTGAAGTGTCTGGTTCCATGTACTTGAGATGGTTTAATGAATAATTATTCATTAAACTATACTAAATAGACTCTTTTTGAACTTGAGTAACCAACCACTGTTTTAATTGGGTAATCTCAGACTTTGAGTTCTGAAGAGAAACTCAATTCCTTCAAAGTATCTAGTAATCAGAATATATTGAATACTCTTTAGCTATAGGGAAGAAATGTATTTTCTGAGTCATATACCAGCATTTTATTTATTTGATGTTTTCATATTTTGCTGCACCAGTGTGAAGTAAGATTTTTGCATAGTTACAGAATGCTGGTGTCCCAGTAAAGTAGTTTTACAGAACATTGCCCAAGAATGGGAGCTTCTAGTCTTCCTGCACATGCTAACATGGGGAATTGTTTAGTTGTACAAAAGGATCTAAAATTGTTTTCCAGTAAAGGTGACTTATTGCACGTGTTTCCTACTGCTGAACTCCCTTGAGATTTTTCTGATTCTTTATTTGGAAAAAAAGAGAAACTAGAAAATCTGTTTGTGAAACATTTCATGGATTCAGAATTACAGGGTTGTATTGAAATGGTTGAAATGTTCAGAGAGATATATGGACTGATGGAGCAGATGAAAGAATTGAGTTCAGATTTCCAGTTCTGGGGTCTGTGAATTTTATATATTAAAACATTTGACATGCTGTAATTAACCACTGGATGTCACTCTTGCTTAACTTGTATGTTGGCTGCTGCAGATGTGTGGTACTGCAACTGTTCAGTTCTCTGTTAGCAGGTGTAGTAAATATCTCAAACATCTTTAGAAGTGCATTCACTTTTGGAAAATGATTAGCACATGGGGAAGCATGACAGTTGTCCATTTACTAGTCCTGTAGAATTGTCTCTAATTCTGTCAGGAAAAGAGCTAAAGGTAAAAACATTGTTTGGCATTTGTTTTAGAGTTCTGCAATTCCTATACAGCCTATCTGATGGTTAAGTGAAGCTGAACTTTCTCCAAGGCAAGTCACAAAGCTTAAGTGCTTGCATTCAGTAGAGCATATCTGCACATGCACAGTGCAGATGTACTGTGTAGTCTCAGCATTTCCCAGAATCACACTGCCAATGCACTCAGGTAAATCTTTGCTCATTCTAGAACAGACTTCGTTCCCGGAGGCAGCTTGAGATTGGATAGTGATGGTTGTTGGAAAGATAAATTGTTCTGGCATCAAAGGCTTATGAACCATCAGTCTTCTTCCAGGCGACAACAATGGACTTAACTGTGCATGTGCAGTGTGCTCACTCTAAAATGGGGTGTGACACATGGGGAAAATGGCAAGTAGAGGAGTCCTGCTTCTGGAGAAGTCTGCAGCCTATTCCTGAGAACTGTCCTGTCGAGGCTGAAGAGCACAAATGAGCAAAACATTTGGATATTAGTTGAACTTACTCAGCAATGAAATTTTACGTGGCTGCGGACAAGTATTTCTGGTCAGGCTATAAATTAGTTTTGAAAATAAGAGAATAAATTGTGTTTACTTAGTTGTGAAGTAGCTTTTTCCTCTTCTTACGCTGAGAATAAGTTGTGTTTGCTTAGTAGTGAAGTAGCTTTTTCCTCTTCTTACGCTTTTCTTCCCTCCCTTTATAGTAGACCAGATGAAGAAGAGGAGCAGCTAGCTAGGAAGAGAGAGGAGCGCAGACTACAGTCTCTTCAGAGGTAAGTCTTGACAGCCTGATTGCTTCCTGGTGATATAGGAGTATTCTGCCTTTCTAAGGAATACATGGAGTCCTAAACAAAGAGGCATTGTGGGGTTAGGCAAGACAGTGTCAGGTTTTCACAAAACAGGGCTTATTGTGAGATTGGTGAACCTGATTAGGAGCCTGTATTCCTGTAAATGAACAGAGAGCAAACGGGTTGATGCTCGCTGTGACAGATACCATGAGTGCTCTGTGCCAGCCAAGAGCAAACAGGAGGAATGTATCTCAAGTCTTGCTAGTCTTTCCTGGACCAGTGCCTGCTTGTGGCATGAGTTAATGGCTAAGTGAGGCTGGGATTCAGAGGTGAGACATGCTTGGATTTGTTTGGTGCTTGGTTCTTTTTATTTTAAAATCTGGGAAAGGTAGAGAAGTTGATAGTGAGGTACCTATTTGAAATTTTGCTCAGGAAATGGAAGCCTTTGGCTCAGATCTCACTTTAGCCATAGTTCCATATATCCAGTTTTTCTGTTAAAGCTGTGCAAAAAGAAGTGTAAGAGTCAGCTGTGAAACAGTGTTTGTCAGTGAGAACAGCATTTCTTCCGATGTAGGTTTTTATAGCTTAGTTCTACAATGATTTTCATGGGGTTTACATTTTTCTTTAAATAAACAATTCTTATAGATAGGTTAATGATGCCTCATACAAGTGAGATGTGCCTTTTGGATTCGTAATTCCTTTTGCAGTCTTCATTTTGGACATGCACCGTGGATTAGCTTCAGCAAGACAAGTGTGTCCTAACAAAATGCTAGACTTGGGGCTGTCAGGTGTGGGTTTGAATCCCCACACACTGACAAGAAAATTAATCTTAGGTTTGCCACTTCCTGGTTTTGTTCTCTAAAGACACATCTGCCAAGTAACAGGTGGGCGCCTTCAGTGCCTTGCTGATGCCTGCTGTTTTCTCCTAACTCAGATTGATTGTTACTGTGAGCAGGGATGCAGAGAATAAGGCATGCTTCCACATGAGAGCCCTTGTGGAGCTCTTCCATGAAGTCACTACGTTTCTCTATTATAAATGTGCATATGAAGGCAAGGAAGGTATGTTTCTGGCTGGGCACAAAAATAAGAGTCAGTAAAGTGTTTATTATAAAGCAAAGACTTTTGACCAGGTGCGTAATAGGGAATGACTGTGTACCATAACCTTTCCACTGTGATTTGTGTATCAAGTTTAAATTCTTGGTACAGTTAATCTGTAGGAAGTCTGACACTTCTGGAGCATAGAGTTTGCTGTCAGACACCCATCAAGTGGTGGTGTACCAGACAATTAGCAACACAGAGCTAACACCAGCTCCATTCTTGAATTAAGCCTAGGAACAAGGATCACTGGGAGCAGACTGCTCTGCCGGAATGATTGCTGCAGCCTTATAGCAGCAT